ATTCCATGGCGCTTTGGGCTGCAGGCTGATGTCACACGGAATGCCGCACCTCACAGGTACTGGCTCTGTGTTCTGTGGGCACAGGCTACCAGCAGTGTGGTGCCAGCTCGCGCTCTGCATTCGAAGCATGAATGCTTAGCAACTCTTAGCCTCCAAGCATCTCTGCTTCCTCAGCTGTAAAATGAGATAAACTAACTAAAAAATGATCATGTGATAAAGCACAAAATGCTTGATCCTTGGGGTTAGTCCGGGGACAAAATCCCAGTTCAGTCACCTCCCAGAGCCCTAGGGGCCTCACTGGTGAGTGACAAGTCCTGCATAATGGGCATGCTTTTTTTTATATATATATATTTTAACATTTATTCATTTTTGAGAGACAGAGCGCGAGAAGGGGAAGGGCAGAGAACAGAGGGAAAACAGAATCCAAAGCAGGCTTCAGGCTCTGAGCTGTCAGCACAGAGCCCGATGCAGAGCCTGAGCCCACAAACTGTGAGATCATGACCTGAGCTAAAGTTGGACGTTGAACCTCCTGAGGCCCCCAGGCGCCCCATAACAGGCATGCTTATTATTACTATTGCTGTTATTATCGCGGCTGCTCTTCCTTCTCTTCCCAGTGAATGCGAACGTTCTTTGTGACCTATTAAGAACAATTCCCTAAATAAAGGGTATCAAGACTCTTTCTTTAAAAATAAAAAGCAGCTTCTGTTTCATCTCTGTTATGCAGCTGGGGATGGTCAACTCTCTGTCAATGACATCTCAGCTCTGCTTGTTGATTCAGCGTGAAGGCTGTAAGACATGTAAGAAATAGACTTCCCCATCTTCGAAGAGAAGGAGAGGCAGCCAGATAGGTGAGGGAGACAGCCAGACCTGGATGCCTGTCCTCAGGCCACTTACCCACTCTGAGCTTCTGTCTGTAAACCGGGATGCTGACGTCACCTAGTCCCAGGGATACTGGGACACCCTGGAGGCAGTGTGTATGAAGAGGCCCTCCACACTAAACGTCTTTCTGACAGCCCCCACTCAGAGCCTGTCCTAACTCACCTGTCGTCCCCCCTCTACGACAGAAACAGAATAATCATCCCGACAGCTATGAGTGTGTCTCTGTTAGCAGGAACCCCGACGTGTTTTTCCTCAATCAGCAATTTTCCTACCGGGTCATCAGTTTAGGAAGAGACAAATCAACCCTCCTTCCCTTAACATTTATTACCTTATTTGGGTTTTTTAGGAACCGAAATTTGCATTGGGTGCAACTTAAAGGGAATAATTTTGACAGCTCAAATGTATCAAAATCGAAGTTCATACCAGGATCCTGTTTTCTCTTTAATCACAAATCATTTTAAAACCAAAGTCAAAGGGGGTTTCATTCTAGAAAATGAGAAACTGAGTGACATGCTAAAGATAAAATCAGTTCCAGGCCAGAGCCGATTCTCAAAACTACCCTGGAAAATGGTGATACTGTGAAGTCCTCAGGGGGAGAGGTGGAGGGGGGGGTGTAGGCTGAGCTGTGTGGGGTCACGCAGGCGCCCACAGGGGCCAGGCCCAGGAGAGGCGCTGCTTGGAGCCATGCCTGCTGTCTCCCAAGGCATCCGCTCACGCTGGCTTGTCCAGAACCATCTCAGTGTTAAGTGCTCAGTCCCAGGCAAACAGGACGTTGGGTCGGTCATCTCATCCCACACTGGTGTGAACTACTTCATGTTCATCTCACCTTTCAGCCTTACTACACATTCTGATCCCCACCTAGTCTATCCCATGGGCTTTTCTTGGATTTTATTTCTTTTCCTTCCTTGCCTAAATAGCAGAAGACAAATGTAACAGAAGGAAAAAAGTGTTTGAGGACAGATAATGTAGTGAGGCTAGAAATCACTGTTCTTAGAGGAGAAGGCAACTGCCCTCAGCCTTACCATAGCTCAGGACCTCAGGAGCAGCAAACACTGTCCCCGGTGGCCAGCAGCACTCGTGGCTTGGCATTAAGCTACATTTGTACCCTTACTTTTACATAAATTTCTATAAGAATATTAATTGTCACCGTTGACACTATACTTAACAAGCTCTTCATACTCCTTCTTCTGCAGTGCAGAGCAGAGGAGGAAAGGTGTTTCCCCTTTCCAGCCAGAGGAAACACATTTGCAAAGAAAATGAACCCCTATAGGAAATTCCTCTTGCCTGGTCCTTTTTTTTTTTTTAAACAAATTTGCTGGGGCAGGGGTGGTTCATCACGGTTATCAAAGCAATGCATGCATATTACCACAGCTAGAAAAATAGAGAAGGAATTTTAAAAATCACACATAATCCCAGAACGGTATCTTTTAAAGCAAGCCGAATAGCAACGCACCCAGTGGACACCTTCAGTGGGCGGTACCCTGAGCAGTACCCGTTCAGATGGGCTACACCGTCATCCCCCAGAGCCGCTAGCTGCCCGGAACATCCTGTGTTCTACAGTCTTTTACGCAGCAGCAGCAGCAGCAAAAACAGCTCCCTTGTTACTAAGTGACAATAGTTCATTTTCTCCAGGATGCTGAATTTGTGTCAGAGCCTTGAATCAACCAACGCATCCATCAACAAATCCCTGCCGTTTCTGTGATGGAACGGGCACCCTGGGACCCCAACTTCATGGACAGGAAATGTGCTGGGCAAATGTAATGAGTTGTATGGCTGAGCAAGGAGAATGCCAGGGAGCGGGTGGCCAGGGGAGCTGTTCTGGACTGGGAGGCAGGGAGATTCCCGAGGACATACTCAAGCCGGTACTAGGCAGCCGATGAGGAGAAGCTGGGCGAAGACAGAGAGAAAGGCCAGCGGGGCAGTCCGTGAGAAGGCCCGGGGGCTGGAGCGTCCTGATGGAGGGGCTACATGGGAGAAGCTCACGGTGAAGGTCAGGGTGGCTGAACTACCCAGGACGGAGATGAGAGTGAGGCATGAGCCGAAGATGCCAGAAGAAATAGGACAGAAAGGATCAGGTGTGGAGGTCTGTGCTCTTGATTTTGGCCTTGCACAGAGAGCGATGGGAAGCCTCCCAAGGCTCATCCACAGAGAGCAGCGTGGGGGTGGCAGAGCGTAAGTGGAGGTCAGAGGCATCTGCAGAAGGAGCGGGGAAATGGGTGTGTTTGCGAGGTCTCTAGGGGTCAGAGTCAGCCTTGGGGACTGATTTAACAGTGCAGTGAGAGAGAGAGGGCCCAGATGGCAGGTTGCAAAAGGAGACCTCTGAAAGCTTCAAGGACAGCCCCCCAGGCTGGCTCCCTGGGTGTGTGGCTGGTACAGTCGCCCAAGCTCGTCTTCAGAAGGGCCGATACTTGGTTTACTACTTTGCTGTCGCTGTGTCAGAATGCTTAATCATTTTCCAACAGGGAGCCCTGCATTTTCATTTTGCACCAGGCCTGCAAATTACATAGCTGGTCTTGCCCAGGGCTAACTGTCTTCTACACGTTTCGCTTGGCTAATAGCTCCATCCAAGGCCTTGAGATTGCTGATTTATCCTGTCAGGCAGGACCCATGTGTAAAGAAGGCTCACTGGACCCCGTTCAGTGCAATTTGTGTCTGTGAGCATATCAGTGATGGTCTGTGATTTAAGTCACAGAGCAGGAAGACAGGAGGCTGTTTTTACTGGCTTTGGAGACAGGAGACCGAGGGCATTTTAATAACATCAGCCTCAAGTTTGCTGTTTGAATAAAAGAGGGATTTTCCTCACCCCAGGTTCATTTAGTTTAGTAATTCAAGCTAAAAAACTTCACTTGTTCAAGCCGAAGCTAAATGGATATTCTGTTTAGCAGAAAAGACTTTGAAAAAAATGAGCGAATTATTATTTTATTTGGCTAAGAATTTCATAAGACGCCTGAATCTCATGCAACACAAAATTTGCATTTGAAAGAAAATTATTATTGTAAGCGTTTAAAAGAAACAATATGAATATTTCTGTGCTCAAACTTCAGGGAAGAAAAAAGAGACAGTCCTTTACCAAAGCTCAAGATATAACACAATAAACTGATTATTCAAGGAACTCTATAAACTTACCAGAATTGCTATATATAGGCTTGTAGGCTCCAGACCAAATGATAATTATTACTTTTATCAGTAAGTGAGAAAATAAACTATTAAGAATGACTAAGAAAAAAATCACCATCCTGAATTTCTTTAGGTATCATATATCCAAATTACAACAGCCAATTTCTATGAAATACTAAAATTATAGGAAGAATAGGGAAAATTTGGCCAGCCCTTCCAAATATTTACAAGGCCACATCTTTTGAAGTCGAGTTAGTAATGTAGTCTAAAGGAAGAGCTTTGAAGTCAGGAAGTTTCAGGGTCAAAGCCTGGATCCGTCTTTGACAAGTTGCTTAAACAACCCAAGCCTCAGTGTCCCGACATGCAGAAGGAGGTAATCCCTGCTTTCTGTTTATAATTTGCATGTTGTAATTAGTCAATAATCGGTATCTTTTTAAAGCTATATACATATATTTTAATAACTGCTGAAGAACAGTTAAATGCATGAATCTTCATCCGTTTCCTCCGAGGGCGGGGCCAGTGTTACTGGACTGAACTGCCCTGCAGATGACATAGAGGTGAAGGGATTGCGGGTCTTCCGCTCAGAAAAGAAGGAAGGAAAGGGACGGAGGTGGGGAGGATGAGGGAGAGGGGCACGAGAGGGCGTGCTGATGGGGTATAAGCAAAGCAGGAGAATGTCCCGGGGGCGTTAAAGGAGTTCCCTGTCGGTCAGGTAAAGTACCTCTAGGGCGTCTGTACCTAAGTGTCCCGGGGCTGCTGTGACCAAGCCCCACAAACAGCACGAATGTGTCCTCTCACAGTCTTGCGGGCCCAACACCTGCCAGCAACCGGCCCCAGGACTGGTTTCTTCCCGAGGATCCAAGAGAGATGATGTTCCAGGCCCGCCCCTCGTTGCCGGTGTTGCCAGTGGTCCTAACCCCCCCCCCCCCCCAGCTTGTGGATGCATCGTTCCAGTCCCTGCCTCCCTCCGCACGCCGTTGCGGCCAATACCCGGCACAGCGAGAGACCAGGGACACGCGCTCCGAGTCCCAGAAAAGACTGTTTATCCTGCACCGGTGCGGGCCCAGCGGATCCTCTCGGAAGGTGAGCCCCGAGCCCCGGCGCTGGCCCACTTTACGCCTGGTCGGCTTCCGGGTACTTGGAAACTTCCTATCAGGCGTACAGGTGGGTGAGATTGCAGGCCCTCAAGGGGAAAAACGGGGGCGGGGGACACTTACCGGTTGTGCCACGTGGGCAGTCAGCTGATCGAGAGACAAGTAAGATTATAGAAGCCAAAAGCATGCGAGGGACATAGCCAGCCTCGGGCATCTGCCTGGTTTTTTTTTTTTTTTTTTTTTTACCTGCTTTTTACCGTTTTCCTTCTCAACACGGCCTTCTGGCCTTCTCCCTGTATGTGCGTGTCTTCCTGTGTGTCTGTCTTCACACAGTGTACTCCTCAATCTGTGCCCAGCTTTCTCTCATATCAGCCCCTCCGACTCCATCCACAAAGACCATTATTTCCAAATAAGGTCATAGTCACAGGTACGGAGGTTAGGACTTGAACTCGTTTTAGGGGATACAATTCAACCCACCTCTTCCATAGACAAGGTGCAGCTGGAGGTGACCAGCCAGAGGGCTCCTCTGTCCCCGGGACACGTCCTGTCTGTAACCCATCCTCAGCCCACCACTTTGCAAAGCTCGGGTATAAACCGACCTCATTCCACTCCCGCCCCGCCCCCATCTCTGGTAAAGGTTATACTGAACACACAGTATAACCTACACAGGCTGTGACCTGATCAAAGATGCAGTACCCACGCAGGCACCTTGCCCAAGGGCCAGTCCCAACCCAGACTCACCTGTCGTGGCCAAGCAGCAGGTGTGTCTGTGTGACCCAGCACATCCAGGTCTCGGACTGTTGAGCCTGGTGCCATTCAACGCGGAACTCTTGAAACAAATTCTTGCCCGACTCCGGGCTCCCGGGATCTTCTGACAGCTTACCTTTCCAGGGGGCAGGGCGGGGAGAGTGGGTTGGCCGGAGGACCCTGGTGTCTAGCACTACAGTTCCTGCTTAAATCCATAAGGTAGCTTTCTGGTTGAAATCGGTCAGTGCATGACCTTGGTGAATAAGCCTGTGCCTGAAAGATGTGTGCATTCTCGCTGCACCGAGGTAACTCCGTCCACCTTGCAAGGCCATTTGGGAGACAGCCCCAGCCGTATCTGGCCAGTGCCCACCTTGCCGACCTCATCACTAGGGCCTCGTTTCCTTTGGCAAAGTCCTCTACTACAGTTGCGTCTAGAGGCGCAAATGAAAGACCACTGACTCAGCCCAGGGGTGGGAGGGTACGAGAAGAGACCAAGAGGAAGGGAAGGAGCGAGCAGAGCAGGGCAGGAGGATTGTGGTGGAGGGAACAGTGCCTGTGAAGTCATAGGAACCCGAGGATGTGGGGGGACCACTGGGGGGAGGGCGCTGGTGCTTCTCAGCCTACAGTTTACTGCAAATGAGGACAGGCTTGGAAGTTAGTCCGCAGAGGAGATCGGGCTCCTTGGGTGCTCTGCTAAGGAGTTGGGTCTCAGTCCCAAAGACTGTGGGAGCCATTTGGGATTCTAGGCGGCAGGTGCCACGACTAAATCCACATTTCACTAGACTCACTGAGGCAGCTGGCTGAAAGAGGGAGAGACCAACGGGCCAGAGAGGAAGAGAAAGGAGGCCACTGTGATCGTCCAGCTTGGTTAGGCCCCCCAAGCGCCCTTGTGAATCAGTTTCGTATCACTGAAAGAAAGATCATGATACCCGCTCGATCCTCAGTGTTACCGGCCGACCTGCTGGGTTATGTGCTGGGGTGGAAGTATTATTACAGAGCTAGGAGCTTGGCAAAACCCTCTTTTGGGTGTGCATGGCCCTGACCCTGAGACTGTGTTGGAATTCATGAAAGAGACACAATGGACAAAAAAGTCTAATTTAAATGGCATTTGAAAGCACCATTTACTTGGCTTTGAGTGTGCTGGAGTTTTTCTGTGTGTGGGTGGATGAGTTTATGCAGTAAATGGTACATGCACTTGAGTCAGGCAAGGCCCGGGTTTGAAGCTCAACTTCTTTCTTTTTTTAATGTTTATTTTAATTTATTTTTGAGAGACAGAGAGACAGAGTGCAAGTAGGGGAGGGGCAGAGAGAGAGGGAGGCAGAATGGGAAGCAGCCTCCAGGCTCTGAGCTGTCAGCACAGAGCCCAACTTGGGGCTTGAAGTCCTAAACTGTGAGATCATGACCTGAGCTGAAGTTGTAGGCTTAACTGACTGAGTCACCAAGGTGCCGCACTATCTTCCTTTTCAAGCAAATTCACCTTTGATTGGGAAGAAACAAAGGGTGGGTAAGCCATTCCTTCCTTTGGGGAAAATAAGCTGTCTTCAGTAGTTTCCTTTCTATAGAGTTCTGTCTATTTCATCTACCGGCAATGGAGCTGTTCAGAATGTGTTTTCAGGCAGTCGAGAGCATGTTCTTTATTCCCTTATCAGATTTGTATTTGGGCTTTTCTGTTGCTAGGCCCGGCCCTAGGGAAGCTTTCCTGAGGACTGGCAGTGCCTCCTGAGCTCTCCTGCCTGTCCCCTCCCAGCTGCTGGGCTGCCTGTGAGTCAGTCTCTTCCTCTGTTCCTGTTTACCTCGTTGCAAAATTAGACTAATAGAAATATTTACCAACCTCAACAGGATGTTGTGGCAATTAACAAATGAATAATTGTAGAGCATACTCCCATACAAAGCCCCTGATAAAGCTAACTATTATTTTTATAGGTGCTCTCAAAAGGAAGACTTTCTTTATAAGCACCCACTCTCCAGGTGGCTTGTGAACTTGGCCTCCCAGCAGGGAATGCCTGCTTTCTCCCAGGGATGGGATTATGAACATCAAACTGGAGGCCCATTTCCCTAATAGCGTGGCCTTCCAGAGCCAGAACGTTCTCCTTTCTGGCAGCACCGAACGGAGACCACGGAGTTGCCAGGTAAATTTGCAGGTCAGTTGGAATTGCAGATCAATGGCAAATGATTTTTAGTATAAATATGTTTCATGCATTAATTGTAAAGGAGGCAAAACATACTGATACTGAAAAGTTTTTGCTGTTGACCTGAAATTCTAATTTAAGTGGGCATCCTGCTCTTACTCATTTGGTTTTTTGTTTCTGCTAAATCTGGCACTGCTAAATCCACACGGTTTTATTGACACCGTCTCAGGATGGTGACATTCAGACAGTAATCAACCCCCCTGCCTTGGAGAAAGCACAGCTGTCGGTTATCGGTGTGAATGTTAACGTCTGACACGTGCAGCTGCAGCCACACCAGGTGCTCTCCTCGTCCCGGCAGAAAGCTTGAAATGGGACTGCTCGCCTAGCTTTGCCTTCTGGAGTTGTGACTCTCATAGGTGGTGTTCCTCCTAACTATCTATCTATAAAACAACGTAGAGAGTGTTTCTTTAGCTCTAGGACTTTGAAAAGATGAGAAAATGTTCAGGGCGCCTGGGTGGCTCAAGTTGGTTGAGGGTCCTACTTTGGCTCAGGTCATGATCTCGCAGTTTGTGGGTTTGAGCGCCGCTTGGGACTGTGCTGATAGATTCTGTGTCTCCCTCTCTCTCTGCCCCTTCCTCCCTCTTTCTCTTTCTCTCTCTCTCTTTCAAAAATAAATATTAGGGGGGTGCCTGGGTTGCTTAGTCGGTTAAGCGTCCGACTTTCGCTTAGGTCATGATCTCACGGTTCGTGGTTTGGAGCCCCGCGTCGGGCTCTGTGCTGACTGCCAGCTCGGAGCCTGGAGCCTATTTCAGAGTCTATATCTCCCTCTCTCTCTGACCCTCCCCTACTCATGCTGTCTCTCTCTCTCTCTCTCCTAGAAATAAATAAAAATATATATATAAATAAATATTAGGGGGGAAAAGATGAAAAAATGCTCATGAAGAATTGAAGCCCACATTCTATATGAGACCATTTGGTTGAACTTTCTACATTTATGTTTTTAAAAGTCAAACAAACTACAGTCAGAAGTGGCCATTTTGCATGGCTCACCGTCTAGGCTACCGTTCAAGAAACCATCAAGGATCTAGAGCAGGCTCTGCTGTCAGACACCAGTGACCCCTCAGTGACCCGTTTCAGGTTCACGTCTATATGACCTTACCCGTGGTTTCATCTCTGTTAGGGTATTTGCTCGTTGCCTGAAGGCCAAGTATCAGCCTAAGCTTGTATCTCTTCGCCCAGTTGTGAGTGCTTGCTAATTGATTTTAGTGGAGGGCTTTCATTTGCTACAAAATTCTCGGAAAAAGGTTAATGACAAAGTAGTTGGATGAAAATAAGCCCTAGCGATAATAAGGGCATTTCTTTTTTCATATTTGAAAGCAGTGGAGATTGAGTTAAAAAAAAAAACAGGTAGAGGGGCGACAGGGTGGCTCATAGAGGGGCGACAGGGTGGCTCAGTTGGTTAAGAGTCCAACATCGGCTCAGGTCATGATCTCACGGTTCGTGGGTTCGAGCCCCGCGTCGGGCTCTGTGCTGACAGTTTACTCAAGAGCCTGGAGCCTGCTTCACATTCTGTATCTCCCTCTCTCTCTCTGACCCTCCCCTGCTCATGCTGCCTCTCTTTTTCTCAGAAATAAATAAAACATTAAAGAAAAAAAAAAAAAAGCAGGTAGAAACTGGAGTGAAGTTTACCCTCGAGAGAGGAAAAGTGCGCCTGGTGACATTTGCAGCTGCTTCTTCCTCCCCTTGAAGAAACTTCCTGAATCCCCACACTCCCCATCAACAGAAAACATCTGCGATCCTGGCTTGAGGTAGACCTGGTGCATGTGCGTGTGCTCACAGCCCGTCGCTCTGCTTCTAGGGTTCCTGTGAGGTGTAGGATGCAGTACAATATTACCTCTAAGACTGCGATAAAATAAAGGCCTATATTATAACCACTAAAGCGACTACTAAGTGCAAAGAGGCTTGGCTGAAGAGTCAGTAGAGGATTAAAATGGAATGTTAGAGGAGCACCTGGGTGGCTCAGGCAGTTGAGCGTCAGTGTTTTGATTTCAGCTCAGGTCGTGATCTCACGGTTAGAGCCCCGCATTGGGCTCCAGGCTGAAGGTGAGGTGCGGAGTCTACTTGAGATTCTCTCTCTCTGCCCGTCCCCTCCCAGAATAAATAAATTAACTTACAAAAAGAAAGGTGGCTGATG